GGCTCTTGATACCCTATCACTTATTATCAAACATTTATTTTCCAAACAAAATTACTAATTTGAGTTATATCACAAATAACCATCCAAGACACAATGTGTTTTTCTCATTTAAAAGTCACTGCCTTCTAGCCTGGCCAGTGTGGCTCAGCAGTTGAGCACCGACCTATGCTCCAGGAGATCACGGTTCGATTCCCGGTCAGGGCACATGCCCAGGTTGCGGGCTCGATCCCCAGCGGGGGGCGTGCAGGAGGCAGCCGATCAGGGACTCTCTCATCACTGATGTTTCTCTCTCTCTCCCTGCCTCTCTGAAATCAATAAAGATATATTTAAATAAATAAATAAGTCACTCCCTTCTAAAAAACAGCCACGTTGCTCTAAATGACGGCACTAGAGAAGGCCCCAGGGCGGGCGAGCTGAAGGCTTTATCTTTCTCCTCCAGACCTCACACGTGAAGAAATGGTTACGATGTCACAGCCTCTCTCTGAAAGCACACTTCTCCTTTTTCTTAATCCCTTTTCAGAGGTGTACTTGACATGAGATATTAATTTCAGGTGTACCACATGATGTTTGCATATACTGCAAAATGGTCACAAGTCTAACATCTGTCACCCACAGTTACAAATTTTGTGCGTGTGTGTGTGTGTGTGTGTGTGTGATGAGAAATTCTATAATCTACCCTCTTAGCAACTGTAAAGTATATTTTTCAGTCGCTCTGAGTGTCCAAAAAAAAACACCAAAAAACCTGTGGTGTGGGGGTAACCAAATAAGGGGCAAATTCCATTAGGCATGAGAGTGTCCATACAGTACCGCATCCAGGTACACTGGGAAACCCTGATGGAGTCTAGCTCTTCCACATTCTGACGCCGGTGCTACACGATGACTTAGCAGACAAGCTGTGTTTTTGTTTTTGTTTTTGTTTTTAACTCTATCCTCAAATACTATCTATCAGAACTTATTTTTACAACGATGTCAGTTACAAATCTTTTTTCACTTTTATGATGACTCAGAGTGGGTTGTGGGAATTAAGAAATGTTTAAAGTAAATATGAACTTCTTTTTAATTCTTAACTTTCTTAAATGTCTAGTACACTTATGTATGTGAACCATTTATGTGCATGATATTATGTTTGGGTTTTTCTAGTTAATAAATATTATAGGCAATGCTGCAAAGAACATCCTTACATATGTCTCCTAGTTTACATGCAGGGTCTGTCTCTAGACCACGAGGTGACATATCAGTTGTGTTTTTAATAACAACACACTACGTAGGGCCTTTGGGCCAAATCGGGTCCACTTCCCGCTGTGGTAAAGTCTCACTGGAACTTAGCCACGCTTACTCATTTATGAATTATCCCTGACTACCTTCACCCAGAACAGCCAACGTGAATAGCTGCAACAGAGACTGTGTGGCCAACAAAGACTGAAGTATTTACTCTCCGGCCCTTTACAATGGAAGTTTGTCAATCCTGCTCTAGACTGCGCAGGAGTGAAGCAGCTGGGTCCTCCACTATGTTCACCTTCAACTCTCCTAGGTACTGACAGCTATTCCTCCAAAGTGCTGGAAACTATTTTGTACTCTCATCTTCAGTGTACAACGTGTCCACCACACAAACACATGCCAACAACTCGTTATCCGCCTTCTAAAGTTTGCGCGTCACAGGTATTGTTCTCTTGCCCTAAGTTCCCTGACACCAAAAAGGGTGAACATATTTTCAAATGCTTAATGAACACTTGACAATAGGGGTACTGAGAATTCCTTCAAAAGACACTGCTCCCAAAGCAAGAAATACAACAGTGACCTGAACAGGCAGAAATTTAAGTGTTTATAATGTTTTTAAGAACATGGAAGAGGGTTTACGATATGATAAATAAAAGCAGCATTTACTTATTAAGACAGTCACTGAAATCTTGCTCTGCATAAGCAATATACACAGCACCAGGCAGTGGCACAAGACATGCTCCCTTCTCTCAAGAGGGCAAAATACTATGTATATCTACAAGGTACCCCCCCTCCCCAAGGTAGACACACTTTAACAGCTGGTAACTCAATTCTGAGAATAAAATGTATTTTAATAAACTTTATAATTACTCAAAGCGGGTGTATACATTTTGGGGGACACCCTATAGATATGCATGATACCAGTTGTGTTTTTAACAACAACAAAACTTTTAGAAACCAGATCCAAGAGTTGGCCACAGAAGGATTCCAACCCAAAGCTTTTCCATGACACTGGCCTGTCTCATCAATGTAAGAATGACATCATTTCAGAAGCAGGACAACGTCATAAACACAGAACAACAGAATGAAGAATTCTACGTGTCAATGAACAGAACCCGGTGCTTTAAGACTACTTTAGAACACCGTAACCAAACAGCACTAGGCTCAGGGAGACGCCAGAACTCAGTCATCACAAACTTCTAACTGGAATGCAGGGGACCTAAGCCACCCTCCCTGCTTCTCCACCAAGCCATCCTCCCCCCTTCTCCACCAACCCCACCAACCTTAGCCAAGGAGCAGACCCATGGACACCCCTAGAAAGGTTCCCAGCCTGGTGCTCAGCAAAAAAAATGCTAATTGGTAGTCAGGGCCTCTGCCTCCCTCCATTCCCCTGGGCCACTGAAAAGCCACAGGTCCTGCCTGGCGCCTGGCTCCTCAAGCTCCAAGCGCGAGTTAGCGAGGGACCCGGAGCGGTCCCCTGCCCCTCTCCGGACAAGCCTCTCCAAGCCGTAGCCCCACAAGTTCTCCCCCGCCCTTGACTTCATGCCTTTTTCTTGCACACCACCAGATCCCAACTCAGACCGATGCAAAAGCTGCGCCAACCACTCCCTGGAGCAACAACAGGGGATGGCCTCTGACGCCCTGCGCCTTGAAGCTCCAGGCCAGCCTCCGACCCCACCACCCTCAGGCAGCAAACTCGGCCCCACCGCTCTCAGCACCAGCTCCTAATCGATCCTCGAGACAGGCCAACGCCCTCAAAGTACCCCCAAAGGTGCCTACCCCCTAGGTTCTTACGATACCTCTCCCCACTTCCCCAGTCCCGCTGCGCGGGGAGCCGGGCTGCTGACCGCTGACCCCGGACGCAGCCCGAGCTCGCTCGCCCCGAGACGCCCGTGTCGGCTCAGCCCGAGGGTCGGCCAGCCGCTGGGGCTCGCCCACTGCCCGAGCTGACAAGGGTGCCAGAGCCCAGACCCTCGGACCCTGCTCAGGTCACCCACGTCCCCGGTCCCAGGCCCTCTGACGCGGCAGAACCCCGTGCCCTGCCCCGGCTCAAACCCCAGACACAGCCCCG